TGATCAAAGACCAAGCCACCAATTTGGGCCATTTGGCTACATAGAGGAATTTTTGTAAGGAAGCTTATGACTCTCTTTCAGTTTACACATTCTATCACTTTCCCATCAAGAGATGGGTTGTGTCCTCTTTGTTTGAACCTGGATAGATTTTTGCGATGGAAGTGATCAAACTGAATTACAAGGCAGGGTCAGAAAAGGCCGTGCAGCTTCCCGTAGTTTCTCCTGGAACACTCAGGAGCTCCAATCCTTAGAAGTCTGGCATTCCTTGTGAAGAGATGGCACACAGAAAGATGTGTGAGAAGCCTAGCTCACCCAGTTCTCCCAGTCTAAGCAGGCTCAACCCATGGAATGGAGGAGCCTCAAGGTAACACTGCTCTTGCCCTAACTGCAAGTGCATGAGATGCTGGCAAGGCGGCTGCCCGAGTCAAGCAATTTCCAGATTCATGTGCAAAATAGTAACTGGTTCCTGGGGGTCCTTCTTACCTAGGAATAGACAGTTAAATATTCCTCCTGCATTCAAAGGCAAATGGAATAAAAATCTAGGAAGTGTGGGAGTTGGCGGGGCGTTATTATGTAATGGGTGTGAAGTTTTCAGTTGGGAGGATGAACACATCACATAGATTGAAAGTAGTAATGGCTGGACACCATTGTGAAAGCAATTAGTGCTACTGACCCTCATGCTTAGAGTGGCTTATTTAAGGTCTGTCTATTTTACTATATTTTTAAATAAAGAAGAGTTGGTCAGCAGCTGATTTTGGAATCTATGGAGACATGAATATTTTTATTACTAAAACATTTGGGCTCTACCCAAGACTGGAGCCCGATGTCATGTTGAAAGTATATTTATGTGAAAAATGCATCACTGACTTTGTGATAGTGGTTAGGGTATCTTCCCTCCTCCCCATATGAAGCTTCCTGACAGTTGGGAGGCTCAAACCTCAGGGGCATCAGTAACGATACATAAATGAACAAAGAAAACACAAAAACTCTGGTTGAGAGAAATCTCCTGACTTTCCCAGCAGAACAGAATTGACCACATGGGCCTAGGTAGGAAAGCAGCAGGGAGTCTGCAAAGATTGTGGTGACTCAGAACAAACAGAAATGTCCAAGTTTCCTTGCCTCTGCAGAGACAGATCTGAGGACCTGATCGAGAACTTTTAACCACTTTTGACTGATAAAAAGTTCTTCTGCCCGGTGACATTTGACAGCTCTTCCCTGCTTGGTTTTCCTAACCGGGGTTGCCAGCTCCTCTGTAACTGGCATGCCCATATTCAGCTAATCAGGGTCCAACTGCACTCCATATATTCAGGTCTCCGGGGCTATAGAGCTAATCAGTACAGGAGCCAAAGAGAACGAACAGAAGGAAGACCGCCTTACAGACTCACTGGGGACAGATTGTCAGAGACTTCCGAAAAGGGAGCTCTTGTTTCTGGTCCAAATGAGCAGCCTGCTTGGAGGCCATTCATGAGGGTGGAACCGAAACTCCAGTTTAGACTTTAATTCCTTCCGGTGAAAAACTTTGGAACTAGACCTCTAGATTTGCATGGGAGATAAAGGTTACATCTATTTCTCAGTATCAGCCCATCTCCTAAATGATTTTAGGGTTATCTCCAGAAGGTGTGTGTCGGGGGGATAGGGTGGTGTAAAGAATGGAATAAAGGGGCTGGAGAGACGGCTCAGCAGTTAAGAACACTGGTTGTTCTTGCAGAAGACCTGAGTTCAGATGCCAGCACCCACATGACAGCTAACAATTGTCTGTAACTCCAGTCCCAGGGGACGCAACAGCCTCTTCCGACCTCTATGGGCATTGCATGACGTGGGTGCACTTACCTACATGCAGGGAATACACGCATACACATTAAATAAAAGTAAATAAAATTTTTTAAAAAAGAATGGAATCTACCTCCAGGAAGGTGGAGACATACCCTTGTCTCCTCCCTTAAGGGTTAATCCAGTGGGACAGGCCAGGGGCCTGGTGAGGGGAACACTCTTAACATAATGTGCTTTTCCTCCCAGAATTCCTGCTCCCTAGTGTATCCACTGTGAGGTGCAGTTAGGTCTGCCCACCTTTCTGAGTAACTATTTTTCTTTCAGATGCTGGTCAAAACCTCAGTATACTTTAAAAAATTTTTTTTATTATTTTTATTTTATGTGTACGAGTGTATTGCCTGCATGTATGTGAGTGCACCCATGTCATGCAATGCCACAGAGATCAGAAGAGGGCTTCGGATTCCCTTGGAACTGGAGTTAAGGACGGTTCATAGCTACCATGTGGGTGCTGGGAATCAAACCCTGGTCTTCAGCAAAAGCAGTCAGTGCTCTTAACCACTGAGCCATCTCTCCAGCCCTGGTTTCCATTCATTGATTTCCTTGTTAGCCATACTAGGAACCCCAAATAGGGACCCTGATTTCCCAGGTATCCTATGACAGCTGTGCTGGAACTCACCAAGATTCCCAGTAATCTAGACCTGCCTTTTCATTCTCTAATTGGTAGAGAAAAACGAACCATTCCTGCACCCCTAGATGGCATCAGAGTGTTGGAGAAGCAGCAGAGGTCAATAAAAGGGAAAGCTAGGGCACTGACAAATGCAGAGCAGAGCAATGCCATGGAGACAGGGTCGCTTGCTGAGAGGAGGGGCCCGTGCTGAGAGTATGTGCTGCCCCTAGCAGGTGAGCACATCTAGGGTGTAGCTGCCCTAATCCAGGGCTGGCCATTTCTCTCCTAAATGGCAAGTATTTAGTGGCATAAACTCGTCTGCAGTTGCAGAAAATCAGTCTGGAGCTGTGGATTTGTGAGTCCTTGGACTATGAATGGATTAAAAATCAAGTTTAGATCAGACCAGAAAGAGCAAAACAAAAGAAGCAGCCAGGACACAACCCGGAAGGAGGCCAAGCAGCCCAGGTTAGTGCTGACAGAGCACAGAGATAAGTGAGTGACAGCAAGAGGTGGGTGGACAGGGTCCAGAGGCTCCAGGAGAGTGAGTGGCAAGAAGCAAAGACCAATTTGAGGGAAAATATTTTGTGCTTGACACAGAGACATGGCACAAGAGCTGTGGGGTAAGTTATTGCCCTGTCATACATACTATGCCCAGCATTCTACACAAACCTGTGACTTCAACACATTTCCACACAGCTCCATGTTGTGAATTGATCTGTAGCTTTTCCTTAAGGGTAGAGGGAGGCTTATAAAACTCAGGAAGGTAAAGAAACTTACCAGTCTTAAGAAGCTGAGGAAACTTACAAGACTAAGGCAGCTCAGACAGTTAGAGGACTCACAGGCCCTTCATTCTCCAAGGTAATATGAACAGTAAATTGCAGGGGTCTCTCCCTCTCTTCACGGGTTGTTGGCGGCCAATGAGGGCAGGGAGAGCAGAAGCGGCGAACGGGGTCAGGACGGCCAGTGAGCGCTGACGGAAGACAGCCCTTCCGGGGAGACTGGTCACAGGCGCAGTGAAACAGCAGTGATACAGCTCCAGACACAGTGAAAACAGCTCCGTTTATTCAGTGGGAAAACTAGAGAATTTATAGTGTGGAGGCAGTAGCAAAAGCCTCAGTTGATAGGTGCTCATAGTATGCTTTATTTACATGTGGCAGTGGGTTCCTATCTTCCAGACTATCAGGCAATGCCTGACTATCATATAGAAAAAACCTGGGGGTAGTTTCTCTGGGGGTAGTTTTTACTCCAGGTAACTATGCCAAAGGTCATGTTTTTAGATAAGGTCAGGCATCCATGTGTGCTTGGTGGCACTTTCCAGGTGAGCCAGGAAGAGAGCAGGAGGCCCCCTGCTGAAAAGGGGAGTCCTTCCATTTGGTGCCGAGCCCCTCAGGACTATCTGGACATGGAGAACTACAACCCTAACAGCAGGGTTCCCCGACAGTAAATAGTTGCTAGGGAGAGGAGATTGTCTTTTGTGCAGCAAGTTGGACAGGGAGCTCCAGGGATGCAGTTTTGTGAGTTGTCACTCATACTTAGGTGAGCATTTTGGTGACTCAGTTGCCTTTAAATCACCCATGATCCCTTAAGTAGCCCTGATACTGATAGGTAAAAAGTTGGCAGAGAATCGAGCAAATGGAGGATGAGGGACCAAGACACAGATAAAACTCTCAGCGGGATAGAGCTTTATTTTGCACGGACACATTCCCTTCGGGGAAAGGAAAATGTCTGCCCACAGATTGTGAGCTGGACCTTATATAAGGGGGCTTCAGGGTACTGAAGGCGGGAAGTTTTTTGGGAAAAATCAGGCGCGGGGAAAGCAGGAAAAGCAGGGCTTGTAAACTTGCCTCTGTTCCGTCTGCCAGCCAGGATCTGGGTTGGGAAGTGTTTACTTTTTTTGTCCTCTTAAGATAAAGGAAAAGCTGTTGAACTAAAACAGCTCCTAAAATCTCTGGTTAGCAGGCAGAATCTGCTTTTCTTGTCTTCGGAGATCAGAGGAAAGGCAGGCTGCCTCTTAGAAGAACCTGCTTCCCTTGACTTTAAAGGCCAAGGTGCTTATCGGCTCAGTTCCCTTTTTTAGGCTTGAAAAATCCAAAGTCCATAGGACCCTGTTGGGAAAGGGGGAGGCTGCTGATGTTTGAAACCATAATAGATATATCTGTTGGTTAAAGAAGCTAGACTTAAGTGGAATCATTTCTTGGATAGTTTGTTGGTGTCTTATCTGGAATGAATAGACAGTTGTTTATGTCTCCCCAGGAAAAAAAACCCACAAAAAATACATGGAAAATGAGACACAAAGAAAATAATAAATCACCCAATGTAGTAGGAAGGGGAGTTGTGGTTGAACCTAGTCTTACGTGATTCCAGTGTCATTGAACTGTCTCAACCTTTAATATAGTGAATACATCATCCCTGCATGGAGACAATTCAGTCACATTTTCTGTACACAAAATTTGTAGACTGAGGGTATAGCTGGCTGTTCCTGAGCACTGAAACACACACACACACACACACACACACACACACAAAATCACAAAACCAAAAAACACAGTTTGAAAAAAAGAGCTTGTATGCTTAACCAGAATATTTATTTGGTAATTATACAGCAAAATTCTAAAATAGGATAAACTTTGAAGAGAACTTTAAAATTATCCAATAAGACTTGCTTCATTTTGAGAAGTCCCACTAGAACTCCTGAAAAGGATAAGTACAGAAGGTAGGGATCACAGCTTCAGATATTATGTTGAGAAATCAGAGACCTTCCCACATGATAGCTAATCCAGTCAAAATAATTGACCACTTTGGTGTAAACACCTGGGAACTCTGGTTTCCCACAGTTCTCACCCCAGCTTACAATACCCCAAACATAAGACACGTTGTTGACATCTGTGCAGACCAAGGGGCCTCCAGAGTCACCTTTGCAGGCATCGATGGAGCCATCTTTTGTACCTGAGGAAAATCACATATTTTCTTTAATTTGTCAGAGCCTCCTTCCTGCCTCCTGCACTGGTCTTTGTAAAGACTTCCCCTTTCTTGAACTTTCCTGATAGGAAATAACAGGAGCTTTTCCTACCTAGGCCCCTCCTGGGACTGCAGTGTTGAAGAGATGCAGATTAGGAAATAATTCATAAATCTGTTCATTTCCCTAAATTAGCATGTTCTTCTTGCTTATCTGTTGTACTTTACACTACTTTATAAGGCGATTCCAACCTGGAAGTTGCTGAGCAGGGAGATAATAAGACTACCAACGCTTACTGAGTGCTTAAAAGGCACTAACCATTCACTGTTTCAAAAACCTAATCACAATTCTATGAGGTATCATTATTTCCTTTATCGTATAAATGAGACAAATAAAACACAAATACGTTAACTAACTCATTGAAGGTCACACAGCAAGGAAGTGGCAGAGGCTAGCCCTGAGCCTAGGCAGCCAGGCCTCAGCTTCTCTTCTTAGCCATGACAATGCCTCCTGGAAAATTTTGTTCACTACAGTCCTGAGTTCATCTCCAGAAGGGAGGGTGATTTCTTTTCACTCTTATGACTTTCTAACACTTGAAATCACTGTTGGTTTGAATTTATCAAGGGTTCATGCTTTGGGGGCCTGTCCTCAGTGTGGTGCTGGTAAGAGGTGGAGCCTCCTGGGAGGTCCTGATGGCAGGGGAGTGGGCCCTCAGAGGGATTACCCTGGGGCCCAACCCCTCCTCCTCTCCCCTCTCCTTGACTTCCAGTCTTCTGATGTGCTCTCTCACTTCTCTCTGTGATGACTCTGCTATCACAGTGCTGTCACCACGAGGCCGGCACCAGAGCTTGGTTCATGGCCAAATGCCTCTCAAGCTGTGAGCTAATTCTCTTTCCTTATAAAAACCCAGTCGCAGCTATTTTGTTCAAGTATCAAAAGCAGACTAATCTAATATGCATTTCGGGTGAACCACTGGGCTCTTACCTGCACATAGCATTTCTTTTTCATAGTAGCGATTTTGGTAGAAATTAGAGCAGTTGCCTATTAGGTTAACTTCACCCCACTTAAGTGAATGGACTTTAGAGTTATCTAAAGAAAGTGAGAAAACAGACACTCAGAACCCACAAATGAGAAATCTAAATTAAATGCTTTTATGACTTAGTAAACTTAAACTTAGTAAAATATATTGACATATAATTATATATTAGCAATCAATGGACAGTGAAGGAGTTAGAGTCCAGGTCTGCAGATGACCCTCCTCCCAGAGCAGCAAAGCCCCCTTACAAAACAGGAAGCCCTCAGACCCCCTTGCAAAACAGGAACTGGCCAGGCAGCTGTATTTAGAGCTGTCTCAGTACAAAGCTGTTTCCCAGATAATTTTAGAAGACAAACAGGCCCTGCACCCTCAGACCCACTGATATAAGAGCTGCCTCAGCAGAAGTGTCTTCCTTTAAGTTTGGAAGGGAAGCAGACCCCTTACTCTCATGACCCAAGACCTGGTTGATTTAAGGGACTGTCTCAGCAGAGGCTGCTTCTTCCTGGCAGGATCCAGACCCCCTCTGCTTGGAATCATTTTCCCATGTTCCACACTCCCTAGGCTGCCTATGAAACCCCCCAGCCAGCAGCCTGTAAACTGACAGCTCCTCCATCCCAAATTGGGGACTGTCCCGTGCGTTTTCCTCTGCCAATAAACTGTATCCCCCTGGAGTTCTTGTCTGTGTCCTGGCCCTTTCTCCCAATTGACTCCATTTACCTATCAGAAGGGAGGTTATGGAACATTATGGCCTGAAGTCACAGCCTTGGTAAAGAGCTGACACCTGTGATGGTTGAGGTGCAAACTTTCCCCTTCCATAGCTGAGTTTAGTAGGGGAATGGTGTAGGACTCAGTGATGGGCCTTCTCACATAAATATCTCTGGCTTTGTTTTGTTATGGTTAGTAATTTCATTGAAAGTCCTATTAGAGTGAAAAAAACCTTGTATGAAGTTAGTCCAAAGTGCACATGAAGTTATCAATGTGTACATGTTTTTGTCTGTGAGGAAATCCCTCTCTTAAGCGATCTGAAGTGATTGATAAGGGAGTTAGAATTTCCTTTACATTTAAATGAAAGTTTTGGGACTTGAACATCTTTCGTCTGTGGAAAGAGAAAGGCCAGGTACTGCTGAGTGACCAAGGAAATGAGGGACATTTAAGAACACAATATTTCAGGAGTGAGACGGGAGTCTGTCCCATCCCTCCACTTCTCTTTTTCCAGCCCACGGCAATGTTTTATGATGCATCCTGTCACTTGCTGTTTATTTCCTCACTACACGAGAGTTTAAGAGCTCAAGGGCCAACCCTGACTCATTCTTTGCCAGCATTCACAATCACCTTGCACCGAAAAGATGCTTAATAGTTACGTGATCAGTGGCTGCATAAAATCTTAGTAATTTAACTGATACTTTATAAATGTCTTATGCTAAATTACCCTCTCTGCCTTTACCCCAGCACTGTGTGAGCATCACGAGGTCTGACACTGCAATCCCCTTTCTACACCTTCTCTCCTAGGAGTTCCATCTTAACTGAAATGAAACTGCTTAATTAGTACTTGTCTAGGGAAAAATGAAGCAAATCTTATTGGCTTTAAGGGTGGGCATGAACTCCTGATGCTCCTGCTGCTGCCTCTGGGATCTAAGTGTACACCATCACAAATCACATTTGAGTTTGTACTTTTCACTGCAGGGGGTCAAACCCAGGAACGCTCACAAGCTAAGCAAGCACTCCACACAGTCACACCCCCAGCTTCATGGTGTCCTCCTGACAATGGGTGCTGTGCAACTACTCAGGCTGTGAGTCCAGCCGGGCGGCTAGATGGCTGGTAGTTAGATGGCTGCTTACTTCTGCATCTGATAGGGATCTTAGTACTAGCACAGCTCCCATGCATTTTGATTTCCATTTCCAACTTGTGGATATAAAACATATACCTTTGTCTCGACCCCATCCAGAAATGATGCATTTATCATTCGGTTGGAATAGATACGGAGACCAGGGCACGCAGGCAGGGGCAGAATTAGAGAGTATGCATTCTTTTTTGGTCACATGTTTTTTCACTTCAATCAAAGCTATGTCATTTTGGTAGGTGGTTCCATTGTAGTGTTCATGAACAATAACTGTATTCACTTTTGCAACCTGTATCTCAGCATTAGGTTGTAACCAGTTTAATAATGCGGTCCACACTTGGTAATTGCGAACTTTACTGGGTCTGTGAGAGCAAAGAAAGGGAAATGAAATACACAAGAAAACTATGAACTCTGATTCTTCATCTTTTAACTTTTTTGATTTTTAAATTCTATTTTATGTGTATAAGTGTTTTGCCTGCATGCACAATGTGCATGCAATGCCCGTGGGAGCCAGAAGAAGGCACTGGATTCCCTGGAACTCGAGTTTCTGGTGGTTGTTTGCTGCCTGTGGGTCCCGGGAATTGAACCCCAGCCTTCTGCAAGAGCATGTTCTGGGGTGCTGTTCAGTGTTTAATATATATCAACTCACTTCATCCTCACTTCAGCCCTGTGAGGTTGTAGAATCACTCCCACTTTATAGATGTGGAAACTGAGGCTCAGGGAGATGAAATCACCATTCCACAGCCACCTGACCACTGAGGGGTAGAGAGACTGCTCCCGGCTAGGCTCTGAGCTAGGCATGGCCCACAAGTGCTTTATTAAATAAATACTCAGGAATACCACAGCGGTAAAGTTACTAACAGAAGTGAAAATAGAGGATCAGATGAAAAAGCCCAAGATGGAATGTCCTGGACTCAAGTCCTCTGATTTCTTTCTTTATTTTTATTTACTTTTTTTTTTCCTTTGGTCTTTTTGGGACAGCGTCTCCCTATAGACCCAGCTGGCCTGGAACTTACTATGTAGACAAGGCTGGCCTTGAACTCACAGAGATCCACCTGCCTCTGACTCTCAAGTGCTGGAATTAAAGGTGTGCGCCACCACACAAGGCAAAGTGACCTGATTTCTAAAAACAAGGGAGACCTCACCCATGTACCATTGTTATGGGGTGCTCTTAACTACTGAGCCATCTTTCCAGCTCCAATACAGTTTTATATTCTTCTTTCTGACGTATAATTATCATATTCTGAAAAAATGTTTTATCCTTGTTATGAAACAGTGAAATTAAATTTAGTTAGGGGGAAATTAGGTGAGTGGTAAATGGAGGAATGATCTCTCTGGCTTTTCTTATGATCTCATTGTTTAATCTCTCCTATAATGAAGTATTTCATGAAACAGATTTTCCATAACCAAAACTGGAACATTAAAAAAATCCTAAAATATATTATTCATATATCTTCTTTAAAAATAGTATCTCAGTGTCTCCAGTTTTCTCAAATATCATAAACTGACCATAATTTGTCTTTCTCTAATGACAACTCAGAAAATCACATTATAACGGTCCCTTTGTGGAAGGGAGGAATTACTCTTGAGTAGCTGAAAAAGTCCAGAGCTGGTGGATCAGAGAGTAAGAGGTGGTGCTGTGGGGCAGGATGAGATAGGTAAAGGAAAGTAAGGGCTAAACCATACAGGGCTTAACGAGCTATATTGACATTTGGGTTTAGATGCTTATTCTAAGTGGACTGCAAAGCCCTTGCATTTCAAGTGATTGATCCCATGGTATGGAAACTGCTGGTTGGTTTTTGTCCTCTTGACATAAACTAGAGACACCTGGGAAGAAGGAGTCTCAGTTGAGGAATTTCCTCCATCAGATTGGTCTGTGGGTCTTTTCTTGATTGTTAGTTGATGTAGGAGGGCCCAGCCCACTGATGGCAGTGCCATCCTTAGGCAGATGAGCTTGGATGGTATAAGACAGGTAGCTGAGCATGCTGGAGGAAGCAAGCCAGTAAGCAGCATTCCTCTGTGGTCCTTTGCTTCAGTTCCTGCTTCTAAAGTTCCTGCCCTGGCTTCCCTCAGTGATGGAATGTGACTGAGGAGCTGTAAGCCCATGTTGCTTTTGGTCAGTGCTTTATCGCAGTAATAGAAAGTAACTAACACAGGCCAAGGGAGGTAGTGCAAGCCTTTGATCCCAGTATTCAGGAGGCAGAGGCAGGTGGATCTCTGTGAGTTTAAGGCCAGCCGGGACTGCACAGTGAATTCCAGGAGAGGTGGAGCTACAGGAGACCCTGCCTCAAAAAGACCAAAAGGAAAAAAAAGGAAAGTAACTACAGAAACATTTTTCTGACAGTAGAGAACACATAGGTGGGGCAATGGGTAGACAGGGTGAATGCAGGTAAGGCATTCTGGAGGCAAGACATTCAATCTAAATGAGAAGGAAAAGCAGGGTGATGATAGAGGAGGGAAGGTTTGAGATGGCTCAGCAGCTAAAAGCATTGGCTGCTCTTGCAGAAGCCCCAGGTTTGATCCCCAGCACCTACATGGTGGCTAACAACCATCTGAAACTCCAGTACCAGGGGATCCGATATCCCTTTCTGACCCCCTTGGGCATTGCATGACATGGGTACGCTTACATACATGCAGGCAATACATTCATACACATAAAATAAAATAAAAAAGAGTGAAATATGCTGAATTTAAGATTCTTGTATAAATTGTGTTTGCTAAGAGGAAACAGTGGAACATGACTGTATTTAAGACAAGAGGCATATCATCATCAATTTAGTCTTGGACATTTGAAATTCAATGTACTTCTTGTGTGTATGTGCAAGCATGTTGTGTGCTCATGTGTATACAGTTGCAAATGTATGTATGCATGTGTATGGGCGGCAGAGGTCAACCTTGTGTGCTGTTTCTCAAGCTCTACCTGCTGCTTTTTGTTGTTGGTTGGTTTTGTTTTTGTTTCTCAAGGTCTCTCACTGGCCTGGAACCCACCCAAGAGGAAGGCTGTCTGCCCAGCAAGCTCCAGACGTCCATCTGTCTTTGTCTTCCCAGTTCTGGGATTACAAACACATACTACTACATACAGCTTTTTTTTTTTAAATTATTTTTATTTTATGTGTATGTGTGTATTTCCTGCATATAAGTAAGTGCCCCTGTGTTGTGCAATGCCCCCAGAGGGCAGAAGAGACTGTGGGATCCCCTGGAACTGGAGTTACAGTTGTTAGCTGCCATGTGGGTGCTGGGATTGAACCCGGGTCTTCTGCAAGAACAACCAGTATTCTTAACTGCTGAGCCATCTTTCCAGCCCCCATGAGGTTTTTAAAATGTGGCTCTGGGGCACAAACTCAGGTCTTTATGATCGCATGGCAAGTGACTCACTGAGCCATCTTCCGGCCCTCAGTGTACTTTTGGTGTTGTCAGGCTGCTGATTGTATATCGGTGGTTGAAGGGAAAACCCAGGCTGTGGCTGCCGTTTAGTCATCTTAGAGTAATATTTAGATAGTGTTAGGGTGAACAGTGAGGAGCACCAGCCGTTCGGTGGAGCTGCAGTGCTCAAGCATAGAGGGAAGCTGCCAAGACAGCAGAGGAGGTGTGGCCAGAGCTGGGAAGAAGCCAGGGCAGATGTGCCGCAGAAGCCAAGAGAGGAGGCTCCTCAAGCTGGAAGAGAGAAGAGGTGGCTCACTGCTCCCATTCACGAGGCTCTTTCCTAATCAAGAAAGCTCTCCCTAATGATTTTTGACCACCCAAAGTTTTTCTTACCAGGCATTCATCTGAATGGCAGTCAAGTATGTTACAGGATGCTGCTCTGGCTCTGCTAACTGACTGGTGATGTAGCTTTAGCCAAGTCATCTAACTTCTCAGCCTTATTTGCAAAATGCGAAGAATACTATCTACCTTTTAGGACTGACTGTTGAGAACACTAAACAAAATAACATGTGAATGTGCCTGGCCTAGGACCAGGTCTGAGAGAAGTGCTCAGAAAATGACATTGTATTCACTCTGAAGTCTGAACTGGGGCCAGAATCCTAAGCACTGCTCTTTTGTAGGTGACTTTGATTAATTAATCAATAAATACCTTTGGAGTTTTGCACTTCAGCCGCTGCTGTGGACTGATTTTATCTGATCCATCTGTTGATGCCCAAAGCCCCAGTGTGGCTGTATTCGGAGGAGATGGTGCTGTTAATTAGGTAATTAAGCTAAATGAGGTAGTAGGAGTTGGGTTTTAATACAGTAAGATTGGTGTCTTCAAAAGGAAAAAGGAAACGTCAACGATACATGTGCACAGAGGAAAGACCAGTGAAGGGCACGGGGAGAAGGGAATGTCTGCAGCCAAGAGAGGCTTCAGGAGAAACCAGCCCTGCTGCCGACTGCTCCTGGACTTCCAGCCTCCAGGACTGTGAGAAAATGAACCTCTGCTTTTTAACTGGTCTCCAGTACTCGTTAGAAAACTGCTATAGCCACTTACAACTCGCCTTGTTGATCTTGCATCAAATTTGCATTTATCACTTCTGAGTTGCTGTGACATATCTTGCCACTTGTGAGTTTGAGTCCATATTTTGACTACTCTGCTTCTCCAACCTGAGAACTTCAAAACCTGTCAAAGGGGGACATGATATGACTGGTCTTCAGCAGGCAGGTCTCCCCCAGCTTCTCTGGAGGTGAGCTCTTCAGTGATTCAGAGTCTACAATAAGACCCAGTCACAGTTCTGGAAACTTCCCAGCAGTAATACACAACTCGAGTGCTGCCCCTACCTGGTTCAGTGCTTTGCCTTCAAAGTAGTTTTGAGTCATGGCCCATGTAAGTAATTTATCCAGACTCACAGAGTGACCAAGCCAATGATGAATCCATATATGCATATATGAGATAATTATCATTGAGCTTTGGACATTTCCTTTATTGCCTAGAACTCACATCAAATATATTTAAGGGTACATGGATTTGAAAAAGTATTTTGTTGTTTTGGGAGTTAAGCATCCTTATGATGGTAAGACCAGAGAAAATGCCATTAGTATTACTCTTTCATAAACTCTCAACCATAACCTCTTGCAAACAGTTTGGTCCTAGCACAATGCAAATGAGCCAAGTGAAGTAATTTGATACCTAAGCTTTGTCTGCTCTTGCCAGAAAAGCAGCAATTTAGCCTGTGGAGTACACAGTAGGATCTGAGGGGCTGGTCCTTTGACTCTTGATCATGAATACAGAGAATGGGGTAGAACTTAACTTCTTAGATAAACTTTTATTGATCATCTACCACAATCTCTATTACCCATTTCCAAAGTTTAAGGATATCTAAAACATACCTAAGACATTTTTTACCTGACACAATGTGCAGCAGTCAGAATCCAACAGCCACCAATATAAATCCCCCCACAGGTGATTCTCTCGCCATCCTTAATTGCCACCTGCCATGGGAAGTCTCCCTGTAAAAGACATGTATGTGGTCACTGCCATCCTCCCCAATGACAATGGAAACAGGCAGCTTTAGGCTGTCTCCCATTCTTTGTGAACACACCGTCCCCTCACTTTTATTTATTTGTTTATTTTTTGACTCAGACTGACCCTTAGAAGTAGATACTTTGATTTCCGTGCAGGCTTACCATGTGTGCTGCCTTTCCTCCAACCACTCGTTTCCTTCGAGTCTGCATGTTTTTTTTCACTCCACAGGATATTTTAGGTAAAAAGGACTTTATCCGTCTTCTCTCTTCAAGAAAGGAAGAGATCACATCATTATTATCTTGAACCCATTATCTTGTTGACAGATACTTCCTGGCTATCTTGCGTGTGTATGTGTTTGTACATACATGTGCATACATGTTTTATGTAGAGTGTATTTGTGTGTGGCATGCATACACGCGTGTGTGAGGTCAACATCAGTCTCCTCAATCACTTGCCACCTCAGTTTTTGGGATACTGTCTCACTGAACCTAGCTCACTAGCTAGGCCGGTGACCAGTGGTCTCCAGGGATCTGCCTGTGTTCTTACCTCCATCCTAGTGTTGGGGTTACAGGGGTGCACCACCACATCTGGCTTTTCATATGCATGCTGGGACTCTGAATTCAGGTCCCAGCAGGCATTTTACTAACCCAGCCATCTCTCCGGCCTCCCATTTCTAGATTATCTTTGCCACAAAAGCAGAAATTACACTAAATACAAAGCTGATTATGTTTATAGGTAAACAGCTATTCACTGTATTTGGAAATTCTGACTCAACATTAAGACCAACTTGATTCTCTGAAGTTCTGTCTAAAAGTGGACTTGGGGCAGAAAGTTGGCACAGAGGTTAAACATTTACTAGGCTCAGATGGACAACGGTTACCCCGTGTCTAGGCATGACGACAGTGATAACTCGGGAGGAAGGCGGCACATTTTCAAATCAGAACAGATGATAACCTGGAGAAATGCTTCCTTTTGCTGTCAGTTTTCACTTTCCAGAAGCTGACTCTATGCAGCTCTTCCATCTTAGTGAAGTGATAGTAATTTAAGTAGATATTATATATACTATTCCAGGAAGCCTGGACGAACAGATCAGCAGGCCACACCTGGCATTTGTTTCCCACCTATGTGAGCATGCACATGTGGTGTATTTGTCAATGAGAAACACGATAGAGCAAGTCCTAGGACATGAACTTGCAAGGTAATTCACAAAAAGGGAAGTGAAAGGTAAAGATGCCCTATTCATTCCCTCTCTGTATTTGCTATGTCATGAGTATGTCAAGAAAATTGTTTCTTAGTCCCAAATAAGAAAGGAAACTTAATATTTCTAATTATTTTTGTGCATAACAGCAGAAGGCAGGTTCCCAGTGGAGAGGTGTTGTGAATAAATACGAATCAAAGGTTTATTTGGTCTCACCTATCCTAAAACCTGGGTTGGGGTAGAGTATAATGGTAAGTCTTAAGTTTTTGTTTAAGCATTTGAAAGAAGGGAGTCCTCATCCACTGAAGCCTGTGAGACCCAGATAGTATCTGCAAAGTAGTATTTTCGCTAGAAGAAACTAAAGGACTTTGCTACAAATCCCTTTTGCCTGGTATCTGTAGATTTTAGGTGTAATCTTGTGTTCATTGGTTGATTTAGAAAAGCATTTACTGGGGGCTGGAGAGATGGCTCAGTGGTTAAGACACTGACTGTTCTTGCAGAAGACCTGGGTTCGAATCCCAGCACCCACATGGCAGCTAACAACCGTCCATAACTCCAGTTCCAGGGGATCTGACAGGCTCCTCTGTCTTCCACAAGCATTGTACAACATGGGTGCACTTACCTACACGCAGGCAAAACACTCATATACATAAAATAAAAATAACAAGTAAAATATTTTCTTTAAAAAAGAAAAGAGTTTACTTATTTTGGGGCCTGGCAATTAAAAGTTAATCTTTTTAGAAATATTTTTTATTTATTACTCCTATTTCACGTGTATGGGTGTTTTGCCTGCATGTATGTAAGTGCACTCGTGCTGTGCAGTGCCCATGGAGGTCAGCACAGGACATCAGATTTCCCTGGAATTGGAGTTAAGGAAGGTCGTTAGCTGCCACGGGTGCTGCGAATCAAACCAGGGTCCTCTGCAAGAACAATCAGTGTTCTTAACCACTGAGCCAGCTCTCCAGTCCCCTAGAAGTGAATCTTACCTGAATTTCATTTTTAAATCTCCCCCAAACAAATTGTATGTAATATAAAATAAGCTGTAAAGTTACATAACTAATTAAAAACTGAGTAGAGATTGAATGGAAAGTCTGTCTTGATAACTTTAATAAATTACCATCTTCCTGGGATCCTAATATTTAACTAATTTGGCTGTTAGTGTATAACTGCCCAGAATACAGATCCTCAAAGCCTGCCATTATCATGATTTACAACCATGTAAAGAGCAGGGTCATTCAACTAACACCAATTATTTTTTATTTCAGGCGACCGGTTGTATGTCTTCTTGAAATCTGGTTATTTTTGACAAAACTCATCAAGCAGAAAAACTTTATGTGGGGCTGCAGACTTGTTTCACTTCAAAATTAGTCCGTTGAACTAACCCAGCTTGAAAAGCAATTCTCAAGACTAATAGTCCTTGCTTTTCTTAAAAGTAACGGAGAAAGGAGAAGAAAAAGGTTACATTTTAAACTTAAATATACATAAAAGTGAATTTCTGCTTGAATCAATTACGTCTAATATGCATACATA